AAACTGCAAGGTGAGCCATTAGACTAGGCTGAAGTCTTACCTAAATGTAGTCTTATGAGTCTCTCCTTTTTTCCCCTTCTGCCTTATATCTCCTATTTGGACAATATATTTAAACATGGGTGGTTCTGCTCCCTTTTGCAAAGAATTTGAAGTCAGGTTCGTTCTCAGCCTGCACAAAGGCAATAGGAACCCCCAGCATTTCATAGCAGAAGCTGGCGGAAAAGCAGAAGTGGAAAATCTAACATGAGATGAGTTAGGTCTTTGTTTTCAAGATTGGGGTTAGCTGAAGAACTAGGTGCTGCCCTTGGCATCCTTTATAGAAATACATAATTTTGAAGCCATCAAGACAAAAATTAATGACAATACAATTAGGTGGTTGGTGTAGAAGTTAAATATTGACAGAATTCTAGTCAAACATACAAGTCATTAGGGTAGGTGGTGGATATAGTTGTGATGCAAGTAGCTTTAAATACGTCCCTGTGTTCTCACATTATTGGCTTCCGCCTGTCTGCTTTAATGAAAATATTGTTCCCAAAGTCTCTGATTTCTTTTTAGCTAAATCTTAGATCAATACTTGTCTTTGAAACACTTGTCTGAAATTTGCTGTATCTTGATTTCAGTAGCTGTGTATTTGGTTCTGCCCTATATTCCTTTCTGAGCACCCCTTTACAGTGCTTTTTGACTGACTCTCCTCATCTCCGCTCTTTTTGTACCTGCGAGTAACATTGGTTCGGTCCCTGCGGTCACCCTCTCTTCTGCTGTGAGGTCCATCTCTAGGGGAGATTATTTTTAGACTGGTAACCCCCAGTATCAATACAGGCTGGGGGAAGAAAGGATCGAGAGCAGCCCTGCTGAGAGGGACTTGGGGGTACTGATGGATGAAAAGCTAGACATGAGCCGGCAATGTGTGCTGGCAGCCCAGAAGGCCAACCGTACTCTGGGCTGCCTCAGGAGAAGAGCGGCCAGACGGTGGGCTTGTTCAGTCTGGAGAAAAGGAGGCTACGGGGAGACCTGATTGCGGCCTTCCAGTACCTAAAGGGGGCCTATAGGAAAGATGGGGAACGTCTTTTTAGTAGGGCCAGCTGTGTTAGGACAAGGGGAAATGGTTTTAAACTAGAACAGGGTAGGTTCAGGCTAGAGGTAAGGAAGAAATTTTTTACAATGAGGGTGGTAAAACACTGGAACAGGTTGCCCAGAGAGGTGGTGGAGGCCCCATCCCTGGGCACATTCAAGGCCAGGTTGGATGGGGCTCTGAGCAACCTGATCTAGTTAGCAGTGTCCCTGCTCACTGCAGGGGGGTTGGACTAGATGACCACTAGTGGTCCCTTCCAACCCTAAACCTTCTATGATTCTATAAATCTGACCAACATTTCTGTTCATGACTCAAGCTAGTCACTTGTACCCGAAGCTATAGTTTTGGATCTCCTCTAACTGATGTCTAGCACTGTTGCAAGCCCAGCGTAGCTGGAGTGGAGCTCCTGTTCTTGACCCAGCGTGTTGGACCTGAGAGCTGACGTTTCCTTGGTCTGGCTCCCACTGCTGAAGCACCGGCTCTGCGGCACTGGTAGTCTTGTCGGCCAGAACGCAACAAAGCCTTTAAAACCGTTCTGGTTTGGATGCATGCCACTTCTTTCCACTTGAAGCTTTCTATTTTACATGGAATTCCTTATGGCCTGCTGCTATATTAGGGTTGTGGCTCTGTAGAAGAGGGTGGTATAAAGAGCTGTTATTTGCTAAAACTACAAAAGCACTTCCAAAATGGCTATCTGGGGTAATTGCAAAGCATTCACTTAAGGTAGGCAAATGAGAATAACACACAAATTGAGTTGTCTTCCTCCTTAATTAATAATTTTTTTCATCTGTTGGAGCACAGAATGGATAACACAAAAGCTTATTTAAATATTCTTAATAATACTTAACAGTATTTTTCTATTACACACTGTTAGATGGAACAAGATAATTTGACAAATTTTCAGTCTAGTTTTTGATACTGTTGGTGTCTAATACAAATACAGCATGAGAGTAAGTCAGGGAATCAAGTCCTTAAATGTTGTGTATAAATTATGAATATCCTCTTAAATATAACTGTTGGATGTGTTTTGGTAAGTATTCATGTCTCTGAAATGTTTTGTTTTGTAACTGTTCCTCTTGAGAGAAAAAAAATACATCGTTATTTATAAGGCTGCTGTAGCCCCTATGATTAAGGAATCAGGAACATCTCTAGATTGCAGCTTTAAAAATAACCTCACTGCTTTTAACGTATTGATTTACAATGCAGTTTAGAAAAACTGCCAGTTTTTTCAAGCACAACAGTCTTGAGAAACAGGCGGGTAGAGAGCATGTCTGTAACCTGCATGAACAGACTTTGTTAGTTTGGTGGGAGCTTTTGTCATCTATGGCTGCAACTGTAAACAGGCATCCAGTAGCTGAAAAATACAGTGTCAGGACTTTTTTGCAGACTGTTTGTTGGCCTTAGTGTTCTATCCTTCAGCTTCAGGTCAGACGCAGATGTTCTCTGTTAGAAACTCAACACATGCCGTATAAAACTAACATAATGATTTCTTCCTTGTGTTCTCAGGGTTTTTACAAAAATCTGTGTTTAAGATCATACCAGTAACCGTTTGATTCTGTCATGTGAAAGATCGGTTTGGATAAAGGTGCTGCTTGTTGTGTCATCTAAGTTGAATCAAAAGAGGAGAACAATGCATTAGAAATAGCTTACTCATTGTAAATCATAGAATCCTAGGTTGGAAGGGACCTCAAGGATCATCTGGTCCAACCTTTCTAGGTGTGAGCACAGTCTAGACAAGATGGCCCAGCACCCTGTCCAGATGAGTCTTGAAAGTGTCCATTGTGGCAGTGTCAAGCACTTCCCTGGGGAGATTATTCCAATGGTTGACTGTTCTCAGGCTGAAAAATTTCCCTCTCATGTTCAGTCGGAATCTCCCCAAGAGCAACTTGTGTCCATTCCCTCTCGTCCTCTCCATGTGACTCCTTGTAAAAAGGGAGTCTCCATCTTCCTTGTAGCTACCCCTTAGGTACTGGTACACAGTGATGAGATCCCCTCTGAGCCTCCTTTTCTCAAGGATGAACAAAGCCAGTTCTCTCAGCCTATCCTCATGTGCCAGGCTTCCCAGGCCTTTGATCATCTTGGTGGCCCTTCTCTGGACCCTCTCCAGCCTGTCCACATCTTTTTTTGTATAGTGGGGAGTGTATGTTGTTGTTTTGGATAAGAAATTTACTACTTTCTTTAATATGAAAGGGTCCTTTCTCATTACTTGTGTGAAAAGGAGCGGTTTCAGGTTTCCTTTATTAATCGGGCTGTTCTGATAGATGGTGACTGCTACTGTCATTGCCCTTTCTCTGCAGGGACTGGGTGAACAGTGGTGGTTGAATTGAGCCGCGGAATATACACATTCCTGTCTCTTTTCTGTATAGCACCTTCCTGTTACTGGACACCACTTTAGGCATTCTTTCTATTCTTATGCTCTATGTAATACTTCTATTACCTCGTTTATTATATGCTAGCATTTGATATGGAACTGTATTCTCCTTGGCTGTTTCTTGCAGTAAAACTGCAAAGTCTTACTTATTTTGAGACAATACTTTATTTAATTTTTTTCTAAAATTTGGAATTACTTTATATTGCTATTGCTGCCAATCTTTAAGTATCTTTAAGAAAAATCTAATAGCAATTAAAAGAAATAATATGCCAACTATAGTGTTTTTTCTTCCCACTAGTTTAAAAATTATCCTAAAATGAAAAGAACTCTATTAAAAACGAAAAGAAAAAAGGCAGAGGCATCACATCAAACACCTACTGGAAAATAGTTTTTAATATTACTGAAGCCAAGCTATACGGCAACATCTCGTGATACATTTTGAAAAGACAATTTTAGTCTCTAGGGTTTTGTTAGTTTATAATTCTGGAAGTTGTTATTACGTGTTAAGTGACAAAATGATTTTTTTACTGTATCTTGTGATACCTGAGCATGACTATTGATGACTTCCTTAGGGAGGAATTTCTTTCTTTTACAGCTAGAAATGCTTAGTATTAGGGAAAAGAAGAAACAGAAGAAAACCCTTCCTGCATGGTAGAAAAAGCATTTAATTGATTCTTGGCAATATATGTACTAGTGCAGCAGATGCAAGCAATTTTCAGATAAAAGAAGTGATCCATCATTCTTGTGACTGCAGAATGGAGGAAAAAAAGAAAGTGATTTCTTGGAAATCATATTTTTGGAAATACCTCTTCCCAGCTCCTTCTGAGGACTGATTTTGTCTGGTAGAATAGTGACTTCAGCAGCGGTGCCTGCTTTAATGTGCTGCCTAATTAGTCATGAGACCTAGGGGTTTTCTTTCTGGCAAGCAGTAAAGAAGCTTGGGTTTATTTCTGGATTACAGAATAGTAGTTGAAACAACCATTAGAAAAATGGTTTCGGTAAACTTTTATTTGAAAACACCCTTACATTCTGAGAATGACAACACTACGGACTTCCAGGCAAGTGAGGCAGGGATCCAATGCAAAAGAAAATTATTGGTGATACAGTAATCATTCGGTGGTCAAGAACTGCGGTGTCCACACAAAGAACTGGACCAGCTGCACAAGCTTCATTCTGGCATCCTTAAATCCTGATGCTCACCTTTGATAAGAGAACAGTTAGGTTTGTGCGTGATAACATCCTTTAGGATAGAAGCTGGGGGTGAGTGGGATATAGGCAGGATGGGCAGCTGTGTGCTGCATGTGGGACAGAGAGCAAGATAGGTGGTGATGGTCAGCTCTGTTTGCAGAATAGCAACCCGTGCCACCGAGGCTGCCTATATCCGGATTTTGACGTTTGGAAGATAATGTGTCGAATCAGGGGCATATTTTCTTCTAGGGCCTGTTGTAAGATTACTTGTTCGCTATTTGTGCTAAGACCTGGTTTTGGTTTGTTGTTGTTGTGTTTGTTTTTCTGAGCAAGCACAGAAGTAACAAGAGCTTCTCTGTTTCTCTGCAGCTTTTACGAGAGTTGAAGCACCCTAATGTGATTGCATTGCAGAAGGTTTTCCTTTCACACAGTGACAGAAAGGTTTGGCTGCTGTTTGATTATGCTGAACATGACTTGTGGGTAAGTACAGATTTTCCTGAGCTTTCAAGGTAGTGTACTATGAGCTTGTTCAAACTGAAGTGTGTGTGGCATACCTTCATGTTGTGCAGAGATGCATAATTTTTTTGCTCTGTAATTAAGGGTCTAACTGACATCCTGTTCTTTGTACACTTTAAAACCTTCAAAAAGCTATATAGAATTTTTTCTAAAGTCAGATTTGATTTTGAAGCTAAAAGAATTTTCCTAAAGCTTTAATTGGAGTTAAAGAAAGCATTCCTAAACTGAGACCTTTTAAAATAGTTTGGAAATGTATTTAGTATTTTCTTTTTCCTGCAGTTTTACACACACAGACACACACCCAAAAGAAGAAAAAAAAAAACAGGACTGCTTTACTGAGTCCTCTCACTGAGATATAGTGGAAGTGACCAACATTCAATCATCTAATTCTAAACACTGAATTTGTGACGGCATGAGTGGAAAGAAAATAAGAAGAAAAAAAAAAAAAGCACTGCTAATTGGGCCTACTGATGGACTATCACTATGTGGAAGAGTAGTAGCAACTTAGATGTCTGTTTTTAAGTTTCCAGCAAAATATGATATGATTTGATTTTATCTATTGTAGACGTGGACATCAATGACAGCATGAGTTTAGCTCAGATACAAATATTCAAGCTCCCTACCTGTTGGTAAGATGTGGGTCACTTGCACCTGGATTTGTGTTTAAACCCAAAAGTTATCAAACACTAAGAGTAATCAATATGTTTATAATTCCTTTGAAAATACTGGCAAGGAGAGGAAGTGGTAAGGCTTTAGTAATGTAGAAGTTGCTATTACTAATGTTAGTGACAAATTGCTCAATTCTTTTTGTACTTAGCTCTCAAGACACAAAATTCTAATCTGGAAGGAAAGTAAACTTAGGCCATGCAAAAAGATACTTCTGGCTCAGAACAAGCAAAGTTGTGGCATTTCATTCCCCTTCATATGCTTAAAAAATAATTTGATTTCTCTTATGGGGTAGCGTCTTTCTAAAAGTTTCCTTCATCAAAGTTCAGTGTACGCTGAGAATCTGTGTGTTTCTTACAACTGGTGGCAGTGATGATGAATAGGAATGCAGCTAAAACCCTGTATGGACAGAATTTTTTTGTGCATCAATTGAGTTTACTCATTTTGTAGAACAACCACAACAAACATGTTTTACTGCTACATTGAATGGCATGTTTAAAACCTTTTTTCTAACCTTTTCCATTTGAATTTATTTTGGGCATGTGGTTTTTACACTGTGGTGATTTTTCATGTGATTTAACAGCTTTAGATAAAGAATCACTGCAGTCTAATGTTCTTACCACTCCTCACATCTGGCTGGGTATTGGTCATAATCTCAGCAAAGTTAATTCTTTTCTATTATTTGAGACTGAAATGTTTGTTACACTAGTTATTTGATGTGAACGGGTTTCCCACTTCCTAACTTTTTTTTTTTTTTTTTTTCTATGGGACATGCTAGACATGCTACACAAATCATTTCTTCTTTCCTGTATAATTGCCCATGTTTCCTTGCTTCTTAAGCCTTTGCCAGGAATCCTTTCTCCTCCCGTGCATAAAGTTAGCCATGTTCAAGGCACTCTTGGTTCTGGCTTAACCTCGGTCCTCATTTCCTTTACTGTCAGCACTTCCCAAGCATCGCTCTTAATTTCCCTTTTGTATCTTTTGCTCACTCCCAACTTTGTGTCTTTTTCCACGCTGCCTCCTACACATGGAACAGCCTCCCAATTAACGTACGTAAAGATCCTTCACTATCCTCCTCCAAAACACTCTCTGAAAATCCACTACTTTGTAACGCATTTCAGTAATAACAACCACTTGTCATTCTGTCTGTGTTGTGTTGTGTTTTGCATTTCCTGTGCTTCACAGCTTGTGCCCTTCCAGCTCTTTGGGGTAGAAATCGTAGTAGGGGACTGGCACATTTTGTTACTGCTTAGCACCATGTGGTCCCCCAGCACTACATAAAACCAAAATAAGTCTATTCATTGTGGGTATCAGTTTAGAAGGATTTAAGTTTTGGAATTGTAGATGTGCTGTCACTAGAGAGATGTAGATTCCCAGAGACTGACGGTTTCAAATGTAGGTAGCTTGGAGTTACTTAGCGAAATTTCTAAGTATGGGAATTGCCCTCTGTTCAAAGCTGCCCAGCTTTAGTAACTCCCATGGGCTTCAATGAGAAGAGTAAATGCTCATCACTTACAAACATCAGATTAATTAAAATCATTAAATTTTCGGCTTCTGTACTGGAAACATTTGGCAAGAGATGAATAAACTATATTAGATGCTATCTTGTTTTGTTCATTTTGTAATACTGAAAAAAATTGTCCCATTCTAATGAGGAAAAGTTATGGTGCCAATTAAGCTTATTAAAAAGTTCTTTTATGGTGAGTAAGAACTCTTTTTTTTTTTTTTTTTTTTTTTTTTTTTCACTTAATTCCCAAGGATTAGACTGCTCAAATCTGTAATTTGAGTGTAGATAGCAGCATACTTTATAGTTTGCTATAACTTCTGTTGATACCATTACCAAGGGATGAAGAAAGCTATGTTAATTTGAACTACTTTTGACAGGTATTGGTGAAGACTTACTATGTTGTCCTTGTCTACAAACATTGGCCATTTAATAACTAAGCTTATCAAAGATTTTTCCTTTATCACCTCTGCAGTTACATTAGACAAAACAATACAAAAGCCATTCATTGGATTACAATAAAGAATGTCTAAGAATATAGCAGTTCTTTTGACCAATTGATTTATAACTCTTGTTTGCTTTAATTACCAAAATTCTTAGTGTAACCCAGATTATTTCCTTATCATTTTTCTTGGCTATTAGTCTCTGTCAAGTAGTAAAGTTCTTAGGCTGTTGAATGTGCCACATATATTAATTTATAGTGTATTGTCTACACTGTCATCACTGCTTATATATGCTTATCTTATGAAGTAAAATTTCTTAGCTTGTACCACAGTGTAAAAGGAGCATCTGACGCAAGGTTAAAAATCTGTATGTCCACAGATGCCACAATGTCTGATGTTATAAGCCACATCCTTTCTTAATTCCTGGTAGCTTGCACCAGTCTCACACCTTTATATTCCGATTGCTGGAAACTTTCAGCTTCAGGTGTTCATAGCCACAGAACCAACCATCTCCTGTTCCTTCTCTTGTGAGAGACTTTCCTTTTTCAATGTCTACTTGTAAGGTCTTGGATGCTTTTAATCCACATTGTATCCAGTTTTTCTGCCTTGATTAATTTATGTTGAGGTAAAAAAAAGTACTTCAGTTAACACATAGCCGAGTTAATCATAAGTCCACAAGCGGGACTGATACTACTTTAAGTTACCTTTTCCAGTACAGTTAGAACTTCAGTCTTGCAAACTATGCATGGATGAAATCTTTCCAAGAAAAAGTGTAATTCCTACAACTGATACATGTATTTTTATGCTATGTCTATTTTTGACACTAAAAAAAAGGTTGTTTTAAATACATGCGGTTTTGCTTTTTTATCACTAAGGAATAACTTATTTTCCTATTCAACTTTCAGGTATGTTCTTATTTTACCTGAGTCTTAAGTTGTATACTACTGTCCAGAACTTCCTCTGTAAAGCTCATGCACTTTAAGACCTTATTCAAATTTATGGTAAACACATTAAATGTATGCATGATTACTTAATTAGACTTTAAGAAAAGTTTGATACAATTGAGATCTGCTCTGGAGGTGAATTCAATTTGTTGTCAGTGTAGTTACTTTTAGCCATTAGAGAGGTTATAATACTTAGAGCTTTTCTTTTGGTCCCAGCTACTCTCCTATACTTTTACAGCATCAGCATTTTAGCATTGGAAATACTTTTTAAAGCACTCATTTTTGTTTTTAGTACTGCAGATAAGCACACATTCAATGTCTTCAATTCCATAATCCCTATTTTTTAAATAGGATTTTTGATTCTAAGCAATGTTTTTGTAACTTTTTTAATATTCTAAATTGATAAGGTATCTACTTTTCTAGCTATGGTACAGAATTAATTCTCCGACTCATTTAATATATGCATGTAACTTCAAAGCTTTAAGATCCCCTTTTCTGGAAATCTATGTTGTAACTTAAATCAGAAGCTTCTGAAATTTTTATCTCATTCTGAAAAACAGTGACACTTCTATCACAGTAAAATGTGTTGAATGTGTTTTATAGCCATAAAAAACATTGTTGGTTCTTAATAAGTGATTAAATAAATTGTTAACGATGATTTGATAATACTGAATGTGATGATACATTCATTATCCAAGACCAGTTAAACCATGATCTCGGTATTTAGGTTTGGTTGAATGTTTCTCTCATATTATTAGATTCCAGTGATCTCTAACAGCTAACTGCTTAGCAGCAAGTACTACTGAGAAACTTGGACTAAAATTAATCTTGAAATTATTGTTGATAATAATAGAAATATATGCACAGACTGGCTTGTATTATATGAAATTCTTATGTATATATTCTTCTTTTTAAATATGTAGGATAGAGATTATAAGCATAGTATATGCTTATATAAGTATATAAGCATATGTACCTAAAAATAATCATCAAATAATGGAAAGGGGAAAATACTCTTCCTATATGTGAATTTTGTAACACTAGCTGAGTCTCCCAATGTACAAATAAACTTACTTAATTTCAGCTAATGACATTTCAAATAATATTCTTACATGCTAAATGAGATTGTGAGGGTGCTGCATACTGATTTGTGTAATAAACTTGCACGTTTGTTTAATCACACAAACATTTTCTAATAGATCTAGGTGTTAAAGTCTTTCTCAAATATGGTGTAATCAGTTATAATTCTTTCCTCCACTAGGCTTCAGTTTAGCTCTTAATCATGAGGATAACTCAGATGCTAGTTAATCACAAATATTTTTATATGCATAAAAAAACTTTTCTTGGTGTAGCAGTTTTATTTTTCTCATTTAGTTTTCTATAGTCATGTGAATGTTTTTGCTTTAA